ACATCATCCATTTAGGTCATGGTTCATTAATTTGTGACCTTTCTTCTCCTTTCTTCTCAGTCACAGTGAAAAAGCATTAAGCAGTTACTGCATTTTAGTTATGAAGAAGTGGCGTTTGTGGATCCTTCAATACAATATTTACCATATTTAATCTAACGCGCCATCAAATCTAATGTGCATTCAAATTTTGAAACCTCGAAGACGAAAAAAAATTTCACTGGTGAATGTAATGCACATTTGTACAAGAAGATACTACTATACAACATATAGGTCGATAAGTAAGGACCGCCCTGTGAACGGGATGAAATTCGCCCATGCAAAGTGTTTCGAAGTGAAATTTGTATTGCAACAAAGATGCAAAGTACAGCTTTACTGTACACAGAAACAGAGTCTCGTATACTGGTCGCAGCTATGTAAATGCATATTTCGCATTGCCAAATTTGCGTTGTATGCCTGTCGTATAGTTCAGTATTTTTCCATCATCTAGTTCAGGATTCCATAAACTCTAAATGTATCTCTCAGTTGCAAGACTGGGGAAAATCCACACATTTGCAATTCAAGTATTCACCAAGGCAATTTAGAGATATGTTCCATAACTTTCACAGAATATGTTAATTCTAAGTAATTCGCTATATACCTATTAAAATAACCAGAAAAATAATCATAGAATTAACACATCTATTAAAAAAGATCAGAGCTTTTTATGCATTTATTTTTGCTTAGTCTAGGAGATAAGGCTCATACCACATATCCACAGGACATTGAGCCTTTTAATAGTCCAGGATTTACACTTGTGTTTCTTACAGCTCACAGAGGCTTTCAGTGCTTAAAGAAACACTCCACTGCCAAATGGGCAAAAAAGACCACACAGTTTCGTAGATATATCCCTCATTAATACATGCATTAATTTTCCTATGAACTGCAGCCTTAGCAAGCCCTGCCTTTTATTTTCCTGGAAGAGACTTTATCTCTTCACAGGGTGATAACCAATCAGAGGCTTTCCATTCAGGTTTATATAAATTGGTGTCCTCATCACTTGCAAGTCTAGTCTGAGGTCTGGAGGAGCTGGTCTGAAGGCTGTATGGGAGGAGGCAGGTGCGCTCAAGTAGAGCATGCCTGCCAGTTCTGTACGCCGAGGGGAGGTAACGGAACAGGCTACAAACCTCCCCCATGTGACAATCAAATGGTTTAAAAAAACTAAAATAAAATTTTTTCACTTACTTTATTCCAGCACAGAGGTCCCTCGCCGCCGTATCCATCTCCGCTTTCTCCAACGTCATCGTGAAGGGGAAACTGTGTGGTGAACACCACCCACACATTAGCCCTTCCTTATAGGAAAGCACTGAATCAATGCTTTTCTACGTGAATTTAGAAGAACATTAGATGTGAATAGTCTGTTTCCACTTTTTTGTATGTATGTGTATGTTATCTCTTACTTTTTCTTAGATTGTCATAGTGTATGATTGAATATGACTATTACCACATTACCTCATTGACTGCAAATTCATTGCAAATATATTACTAGCTGGAAAAAAAAAACCTGTCAAGGTTTCTTTTGTGACTTCTTTATTTAAAAATGAAAATATACTAACGCCATGGAGGAACTTTGTTGAAAACACATTGATATTGTTATACATAAAAGTGTGGTTTCAAAGGACTTTACATCTTTTAGGGCAGAATAGCTCAATTGGAAACATTCTTGAAGTCAGCTATGTTTACAGTTATGTGAAATTCACTTTGATTTTCTTTTTCATTCCAAACAATTCACAGTTTAGTGAATAAACCTGTTAGTGGGACCCGATGAACCAAAAGTAACATATTTCACCTTTAAATATAATTATTTGATTCATGACTTGCCAACTTCTAATTCTAAATTTTCGATTTCATTACTGAATGTGCCTTATATTACAGTGCCACGGTTCATTCACATCCACTCATGTATCTGGTAAAAAATGATGGATGATGTTTTTGTAGTAAATGGCACAAAGCAGGTGAGTTTATGTAGGTTTGCTTTTTTGTTTCCCCTTGGGCTTCTACGGATGAGCAAAGAAGCAGCAGATCTGTGTCTAAAAATAGGCTGTCTCGAAAATTCACTACGTTCAGTGCCCACACGTGGAGTAGTAGGCTGGCTGTTTACATAAGAGAACTATTATTAAGAAATTATTACAATCTCTTGACAACTTAAGTCACTCAGGCAAAGTAGCTTGAGATGTTTGATTTAACTCTGATTAGCAATATTGAAGACCCTTATTTCAAACTGGAAATTATTAGTTAAGCCAGAATTTGGAAACATTAAATTTACATTATATGTCTTTAAAAAATCAGCAAGCACCGGCCTGTCTTGCATATAGATACTTGGAAACAACTGTATGGTAGATCTGGAAAGACATCTTATATAAGGATGGCCATATTCCACTTCTTCAACTGATAGCACTATGAAAACTCCCACCGACCCTTCTACTGTCGGTTGCTGTGTTTTGACCAACAATGGTTTAACCCCTTAAGGACACATAACATGTATGACATGTCATGATTCCCTTTTATACCAGAAGTTTGGTCCTTAAGGGGTTAGAGGAGTTGTAGTCTGCTACCTTCTGGAAGCCTAGAACATGACAACCTATGTCACCTTATATGAGATGGTCATCTGACAAATGCAGGCATAAGAAGGGGTGAAGGGAAACAGGGACGCAACTAATGGGTGAAAAGACACAGGTAGAAGGAAGGTGAAGTGGCGAAGAGAGGGGAATATAAAACGTTATAGAGAGAGCAAATAGAGAATATTAGGACATGAGGAAATGCAGGGAGATACTAGAGATAAATCAGAGAAAGTGGGGGTAATGGAGAGGTATATTTGTGGGTGAAGAAAGAAAAAGAAAGGTTTATGCAAAGAAAAAATAGGGCTAGAGAAGCACTAAGGATGACGAGATACAGTGATACAGAGAGGAGGATAGAGATGTAATGGGAGGTGTTGGGGAGGGACACTTTGGGCATAGAGACGTTGGGAGGTGAGAAATGGAAAGAACGACACTAGGAAGATGGAAATGGTAACAGGGGATAATTGGGTGGAGAAATAGAGATACGGGTTATTACTCAAACTCTGAATACATACGGTTACTTTTGTTTTGTTTCTTTTTCAGAATGCATCCTTCCATTTTGTGAGAGTCATGGTTGTAGCCTTTTGTCTGGCATAGCTCATAATGCTTTAATTGAAAAAGTTTCTGACTGACCCAACCCGTGCGTGTCAGATTCTGGAATGTAGTCAAAAACCTTCTCTGTCCGCATACATTGCACACAAGATTATGGTTTAGGATGCTTCAACTGATTTTTAATTTAGCACTAATCATGGCATCATACCTAGACAGCTCATGAATCGTACTAGTGTGTGTGCCTTTGCACAAGCAAATAATTTTTGTTTTTTTAATGGGGAGGAGTGTAAGCAAAGAATGAGTAGTTTCAAGCAAATGTTAATTGGATTCACCTACTGTTTAATTAATGGCTGAGGTCAACCAACACTAAAGTTGCATGTAGCATGATAATGGAACATTATAAATAAAAAAAATAAAAAAGACACACAATGTAGACAGTATTTTGTAAAGAATTTTAGTATATAAAAAATAATATACATTCTGCATTAATTCCAAATTTTAAAAAAATGGTAAGCAAACACAAGTTGCATTAAAAATAATAATAATATTTTATTATTTCAAAAAAATTGCTTTGGGGCACAAAGAACACATTAAAATCTTTCTATTGTTTATCAAAATGCACTGTGCTGAATTTTGAACAGAAAATGTTAATATCTAGCCAAAAAATGAGTAATCCACATATACCTCATTTATCAACATAACAACATGTCATTTGTGCTACAAACATATTCTCCTTTTTTAAGTTGAAGCATTTAACAACAAAAATATTCTGCGTAGCTTTGTAAAATAACCTTCTGAGCTTGTAAAGATTCTCAGTTTAAAAAAACACCTCATCTCAATTAAGTGGTCTGGGTGCAGTGGCAGTTCAGTTGAATTCCTGCAATGTAAAACATTGACTTTAGCAGATACAGCAATGTTTCTGTTGCAGGTATAAACACACATCTAGTGGCTATGTTTTCACACGTCACCTTCTCTGAATGCTTCTAACAGAGAACATTCAATTAGAGGGGTGAAGTCCTTGCTGTGCATGCACTTCTTGTCCCCAATGCCCCTCAATGAGAAGCACTGGATTGGACGAAAAGATGAATGAGCAACACATGCTGGATGATGTCATGGGATTGAGAGTAGGTGGCTGCACCGAATGAGTCTCGGCGCTGGAAACAAATTTTAAACCATGGTCTTTGTAAAGGCTTGACAAAGACCATTTAATCTGGTTGAAATGCTCCCAGCTCCACTTAGGTGGAATTAAACGTCTTTTTACATTTTTTTGGTGTGTGTCGATGCTTCAATATTCTTTAATTAGTGTATCTATGGGGTTTGCGGAAGGGAACCTTGGGAATCTGCACCCGTATGTACATTTGTCAATAGTGCTGGTCCATCTCCATTTCTGTTCTATAGGTTTATGGGAAATTGCTAGAAAGAAAGATATAATCTACATTAATCTTAGTATATTTCAGTCATCCGATAGCAGAGGCCTGTGGCATAAATGCAATTAACATATTCAATTTGCTGCATTTGAGTCAATGTCCCAGAAAGAAGTGGTAACATTTGACATCACAGTCATCAATCACTTGTCTTAACTGTATGTCCATTAGATGTTCATCTGTAAGATACTTTTTTTTGGGAGTGTGCCCAACTGACTCCTTTGATTACCATACTCAGAAGTTTAATTACCGTATGTACTAGTGTATAAGTCAAGTGCAGTTTTGTGACCAACAATTGTATATATATACAAATATGCTATGCCTCGTGGATAAGTCAAGGGTAAAACTTGGGGCTATGAAATTCTGTGATTTTTATAATTTTGTCAGATTTTTCCTAGGTAAGATCCTGGAACATAATCCTGTATATAATGCAGAGTGTGTGTTTGTATGAGTGTGTGTATATAATGCAGTGTGTTTGTATGAGTGTGTGCTTATATACACACTCATACAAACACACTCTGCATTATATACACACACAGTAGTCAAAAACCTTCTCTGCCCGCATACATTGCACACAAGATTATGGTTTAGGATGTTTCAACTGATTTTTAATTTAGCACTAATCATGGCATCATCCCTAGACAGGCTCTGTGTGTATATAATGCAGAGTGTGCGTGTTTGTGTGAATGCAGAGTGTTTGTGTGTGTATGTGTAGTGTGTGTGAACTGGGTGGGGGGGAGGGCATTTTTATTATTTAAATTTTTTTTTTTTTATATTTTAATTTTAATATATTTTTTTTTTAAATCATTTTATTATTTAATATTTTTTTTTCCCTTCACCTCCATGCAGCTCCCCTGTCAGCTCCCAGTGTAAATCTCGCGGTCAGCGTGCCGTGCGACGGCCACGTGTGTCGCGAGATTTACACTGGAAAGCTGACAGGGGAGCTGCACGGAGGTGAAGGGAGCTGACCAGAGCTGCTACAAAGGTATGTAACGGCTTGCTGCCAGCCCCCAACAGGACCGCCGGGCTTGTAATGAGCCCGGCGGTCCTGGTCTGTATTATGGCAATGTAAGTTGCCATAATACAGACCTTGACTCGAGTATAAGTCAAGTGGGGCTTTTTCAGCACAAAAAATGTGCTGAAAAACTCAACTTATACTCTAGTATATATGGTAATAACTCATGGTAGGTACCACCCAGTATGGATGCTATTTGTAAAATATGATTTTTACTGTAGCTTTTATTTATTAATTGAAAATATTTATATTCTTGGAGTACGTTTCCATGCAGCATGAGAGTCCAATACATTCCAATGAAACCCTCATTACTGCTGAAAATATTTTAAACCTTCTATTAACCAAATTGTAGCGCAGCAGACTGTGAGATCCCAATGTCCAGTGTACTTGACTGTGCTATACAATACGGTACAATGATTTAAGATTCTCTCACTACAGTATGACAAATACTGCTCTGTGTATGTTTTATTATTATTTTTCAGTGACAAAAAATAAATTATATTTGCTAAAAAGGCAAAGAAGCATTACTGTGGACCTGTCAAAATATATGTATGTTTCAGTATGACTACTGACAGGGACTATGCTTGAATAAACCCCACGGGCCTGTAGCTGCTCCAACAGGCAACGAATGAGACAACATGTCTCTCCCAATATAAAACACTAGCATGAGATGTGATTTAGCCATTGCTTATTCAGTGTTCAAACCAAAGTCCAATTTAGATTCTTTATACAAAATGTCATGCATCTCGCAAATGTAATAGGAAGAACTTCACTTAAAACAATTACGACATCATATGAGATGTAATACGGGAAACAAAGCTTGAAAGAATATTGCATATATATTAAGACAGGCATAAATCAATATAGAAAACTGACGTTATTGGTGACAAATGTTCAATTTAGATCACCGTGTGAAAAGAAAGAAAAGCTAAACAAACATTTTCCCATCTTTTTTACACTTGATACTATTAACGCTTTGGGGCACTCACAGATAGAATTGCTTGTGCTGTGACTAACATATGCTAAAATCCTGGATTTGATGGATGATTCTTATTTTTATATAAATTAATTTACCTGTTTTGATAGGACAAGAGTAATGTAGCTTAAAACTAAAAAAAACATTAAATAAGCTTGATGCATGTTCCAAAAATCCTTAAAAATTTTTTTTTATTGGGAGCGGAAAATGGTAAAATACTCTGAAATATTTTTATGGGAGTGAGCTTTTATTTTACAGTTTCTCTTGTTATATGCTAAAAAGAGCCACATATGAACATTTTGTTGGTGATGAGAAGGAGGCCATGGTAGAGCATACCTGGACAGTGGATCTCAGCTGGAAAATCGGAACCTTGGAGCCAGTATGCACACGCGCCTGTGAGAAGAGGTCTGGTACGCAGTATGTGCCATTGACAAGGTCCATATCATCCAGAGTATAAAGCACTGGTTCCACAACTGTAGGGTGGGAAGATGGCCCAGGAGATCTGCTACCATAGGAACAATGCTGGAAAACCCAGCCACTTCATGTACTATGCACAGTCTCCACCGGGTAGGTGGCAGGTTTTGAATTCTGAGAACCAGACATCGATAGGCACGGAAAACCAGTGAGCAGTTTCAGCTCTTATTATATTCAATGAAAGCTGTTTAAAATTACATCAGCTGGTAATTTCTAATGATAACATTTTGCTGTTGTGATAAACCTGCTACTCAGTAAGTTTAGTTACAGCCACTTTAACGAATAGCAACTCACCGGTAAAATTCAGTGACAACGCTGTAAATGAGACCTTGGTAATTAAACTAAATCTCAGTTTAATCACCAAGCAAGGATTGATGCCGGAAACATACAGATGCTTTCTTGACACCTAATATGAATGGTATAGCCATCGTAACCACTTCACCTTATTGAAATTGTTACGGTGCCTGGAGTCCCTGGCACCAGCTTGTGGTTCAGTGTTAAACCCTTTTTGAACCCTGGATGAGATTCCCTGGTCAAATTCTTCTTTGGCAGGGTGAAGCTGGGGTGCAGGTGACAGGAATCCACATACAGTGTTCAAATAGTTTTGCACTGAGGATGGGACAGCATCAGGGAATTCAAGGTACCATAACCACTTCAATTAGATAAATGAGTTAAGTGCCTTGGGTTGCCCCTTTAAAACTTTAACACTTTCTGAATGACTTACTTGGTACAGTATTGTATGGAATTGCCATGTAGCAGTGTGCCCTATGTTTAGAGCAATATTTTAATGTTGTCATATTTAAACATATGTTTCTAGATACAGTAAGAGGAAGGGTACCTTTTTCTTAGGCCTAATATTAATTTATTTTATATTACACATATATGTAATACATTTACAATCACTAATCTGAGATCTGTAGCATACTGCAATCCAAATAGCAAAGGTAAGGGAACTAGAGGTGACTTAGACACATTCTCAAATGAAGTTATCATACTGTGAATGCTTTACCTAAATGTTGCCATTTAGATTTTAAGATTAGTTTATTATTCTTATTATTAATTATTTTAAACAACACAAAGGTCTTCGTCAGGCTTAGGTGAAAAAACATGCTTGTGTGCTACCTTCTTTACACACCCAATGTCATACAATCTATGTCTCTCTCTCTCTAACTATACATATTTAACAAACAACAACAATTCATATTCTATACAAGTTTCAGAGCCAAATGATTTAACAAAAAAATTGAGCTTTCCCATCTGTTTCCTTCTTTATCCTGTATCAAGCTGTATCAAGTATATGATTCAATCAATGTTGTATTACAATATCAGTGGATAGCTGGCTACTATGAGTACTATGCAGTATTTATCTTATCCAGTGTTTTTACAGCCAGTAGAGTTTAAATCTAATAAACATTATTCATAAGGAAACAACTCAATGGTGAAATGACTGGTGTGTGGCTAGGGTTATTTGAACAATTCTATTTAATGTTCATACAAAACATAAGAAACCTTGCTTATGTTGGCCAGCTCCCTAACTCCTTAAGGACAGAGGCAAGTGTCCAAGTTCTGAAGCAATACAAACCCTAGAACATGAGCTATGTGTTCGTTCCACCTTAATATAAGGGTTTCTCTTTAAGTGCCCCCATACATATTATGCAGTGCTCAAAAAAATTAAGGGAACACAAAAATATCATACTAGATCTGAATGAATTAAATATTCTTCTGAAATACTTTGTTCTTTACATAGTTTAATGTGCTGACAACAAAATCACACAAAAATAAAAAAAATGGAAATCCAATTTTTCAACCCATGCAGGTATGGATTTGGAGTCACACTCAAAATTAAAGTGGAAAAACACAGTACAGGCTGATCCGAATCTGATGTAATGTCCTTAAAACAAGTCAAAATGAGGCTCAGTAGTGTGTGTGGCCACCACGTGCCTGTATGACCTCCCTACAACGCCTGTGCATGCTCCTGATGAGGTGGCAGATGGTCTCCTGAAGGATCTCCTCCCAGACCTGGACTAAAGCATCTACCAACTCCTGGACAGTCTGTGGTGTAACGTGACGTTGGTGGATGGAGCGAGACATAATGTCCCAGATGTGCTCAATTGAATTCAGGTCTGGGGAACGGGCGGGCCAGTCCATAGCATCAATGCCTTCGTCTTGCAGGAACTGCTGACACACTCCAGCCACACGAGGTCTAGCATTGTCTTGCATTAGGAGGAACCCAGGGCCAACCACACCAGCATATGGTCTCACAAGGGGACTGAGGATCTCATCTTGGTACCTAATGGCAGTCAGGCTACCTCTGGCGAGCACATGGAGGGCTGTGCGGCCCCCCAAAGAAATGCCACCCCACACCATTACTGACCCACTGCCAAACAGGTCATGCTGGAGGATGTTGCGGGCAGCAGAACGTTCTCCACGGCGTCTCCAGACTCTGTCACATGTGCTCAGTGTGAACCTGCTTTCATCTGTGAAGAGCACAGGGCAAATTTGCAAATCTTGGTGTTCTCTGGCAAATGCCAAACGTCCAGCACGTCTCCTGATGTACTGGCCTGTCTCCTGGTAGCGCCTCCATGCTCTGGACACTACGCTGACAGACACAGCAAACCTTCTTGCCACAGCTCGCATTGATGTGCCATCCTGGATGAGCTGCACTAACTGAGCCACTTGTGTGGGTTGTAGACTCCGTCTCATGCTACCACTAGAGTGAAAGCACCGCCAGCATTCAAAAGTGACCAAAACATCAGCCAGGAAGCATAGGAACTGAGAAGTGGTCTGTGGTCACCACCTGCAGAACCACTCCTTTATTGGGGGTGTCTTGCTAATTGCCTATAATTTCCACCTGTTGTCTATCCCATTTGCACAACAGCATGTGAAATTGATTGTCACTCAGTGTTGCTTCCTAAGTGGACAGTTTGATTTCACATAACTATGATTGACTTGGAATTACATTGTGTTGTTTAAGTGTTCCCTTTATTTGTTTGAGCAGTGTCTATTTAAATATCCTATATGTATACCTAACAATAATTTAATTGTAAAGAAAATGCT